ATAACTCTCCTTCCTGGAGTTAAGTGATACACTGAAGAGAGGAATGACAAGTATGGCCCAGAGGATGCAAACATGTGGAAGAAGGTAGCTGGTGAAGCAGAGAGAGGCAGGGGGAGGATGTGCTAGATGGTAGGGGAAGGGTAAACGAGAAGCCTGGACTGGAGGGTGAAGACGCCTATCAAGACTATGACAGGAGAAACTTCATTAAAAAAAAAAAAGTCGTGCCCATTAGGATGGTAACTATCAAAAAACAAAAACAAACAAACAAACAAAAAGCACCCAAAATAAGAAAATAGTAAGTAATATGGGGATGTAGAGAAATTAGAACATTTCTACACCGATGGGGGGTATGTAAAATGGTGTAGCCACAATGGAAATGGTATGGCAGTTACATGAACTACCATATGATCCAGGAACTCCAAACAAAATTAAAAGCAGGTACTCAAAGAGATATTTGTCCATCCATGTTCATAACAGCATTATTCACAATGGCCTAAGGTCAAAGCAACTCAAGTGTCCACCAACAATGAATGGTTAAACAAAATATAGTATATCCATACAACAGAATATTATTCAGCCTTAAAAAGGAAGGAAATTCTGACACATCACAACATGAAAGAAATTTGAACATATTATGCCAAGGGAAATAAGCCAGTCATAAAAGGACAAATATTATATGATTCCAGTTATATGAGATACCTAGAGTAGTCAGCCTCACAGGGACGGAAAGTAGAATGGTGGTTGCCGGGGGCTGGGAGGATTGGGAATGAGTTTAATGGGGACAGAGTGTCAGTTTTGCAAGATGAAACGAGTTCTGGAGATGGATGCTGGTGATGGTTGCACAACAATATGAACATACGTAATATCTCTGAACTATATACTTGGTTAAGATGGCCAATTTTATGTTGTGTGTATTTTACCACAATTAACCTTTAAAAAAAAATAGGAAGATAATTCCAGGAAAAACCCTCACAGGCAACTAAACACCAGGTATTTCTGAGTAAACCTTTTGAATGAGGGTCATTTTGTTGTTTGTTTGGCTTCTTCAAAAAAGAAAATGAATAAAAACACATCAGCACTTGAAATGGTCCTCCTGGGAACAGAGCTCAGAAATATAGGAAAACAATGTCTCAAGACAAAAGACTGGAGCAGTTAGCATGGGAGGAATAGGTTGGATCCGCCCTTTCAACGGAAAATATCTGACCAATAGGCACGTGGGCGGAGACAGCCAACAAAGATTCAAAAAGAAATCTTGCCCTCCTCATCCATCTGACTTTTCGTGGGGCTGCAAGTCAGGATCAGTTGAGACTCTGCTTTTTCCTCCCATATCAGTGAGACAGTTCCTAACTTCCTCTTCCCATGGACCCCAGATTATTCTGAGCCTGAGATTCAGGAGATATTCAGAAGAAACTTCCATTCAGACGATAGAGTTTGAAGAGTGCACGGCCCATGAAAAACAATTGAATTAGAGCTTCCCTCTAAAACCAAAAAAACGTGAATCGGTGTGAGCCTTTTTCTTCTTAATTTACCACAAACAGGTCTTTAGAGGCAAGACTTAGGCAGAAGACCACAGCAAGGAAGCTATTCTCATTGTTGTTTTTGTTCTGTTCTGTTTTGTTTTTTTGATTTTTTTTTTTTTTTTCAGAAAAAGAAAGACTTTGGATTTTTACACTAAAACTTAATACATCCTCCTCCCACTCTGCACACACACACATCTGCACACAGAAGGAAGGCTCTGCCGGAGTCACAGCAAGTTCTGCTGGGCTGTGTATTGGCTGGGCTTTTGGGAGAGGGGTGTGGCTGCCCAAGAATTCACAAAAGCATGCTGAAAAGACAACTGAAAATAAAATTAAATTTATGTTTCTAGAGAGATCAAGGATGGAGTAATTTAGCAGGGGAAAAAGAATTCCCAGTCTGGGGCTAAGTCTTAGGAAATGAAGAACTAAGTCTCTATGGGGGCCGCCCTATTGTAAAATCCAATGATATTCAATTAAGGGGCCACAAGGTAGCAAAAGCTATTTTTTATATTTCAAGCAGCCTATTAGAAACTGAATATCTGCCCAAGATGTAGTCACATGGGCCAAGTGAAAGGTCAAGTTGTTTTGGGTTTGAGCTAGAAGTCCATCCAGTCAGTGCGGTAACGTGACATATCATGTCTCATCAGGATCAGAAACTCTGATTGGCCATTGATGAGATCAAGGGCATTTCTGGGATGAGATTTTTCCTTCTCATTCTTTTATATGCCTTTGATTCATAAAAATTGAATTACAGCTGAATAATTACTTGTTAACTGCAGTTTGGCAGGCAAATCTTGCAAAACCCTGGGTTCACCAAGAAAAAAATAAAAAGGGTGTTTGGTGGTGAAAAGTTTGGAAACCACTCTTGAGCTTCCTCTCTCCTCCCCTGAACATGCACAATTTCAAGGGAATAAACAGGGAGCCAGAGTGGATCGTGCCTGTTGTGTGAGAAAACTCAGAGAGAGACAGTGTAAATTAACTGCATCTGGTTAGACTGAGCGTGAGGGGGAGGAGATAATTAGTTGGCATTATAGGAACAAGGGCAAAGAAGAGAGTTCTATATTTATTCAGAGGAAATCCAAAATAGACTACTTTGCACCCGTTTGGTGCTCCTGGGTGATCCTGACATCTCCAAATCAGCAGATGTTGAACCCGGGGACCAGATGTACAGCTCAACCAAGCCCCTGATGACACAAACCACCCATCCCACCTCCAATAAATGGAAACCTGACTTCATTCCCTTTCTCTTCCACAAATGAAGGGAAGAAGCCTCAGTAAGCCCAAAAGACATTCAGGAACAATAAGACCAGATTCTGATGAGGGAACAATATCTTAAACACAAGCCCTACAATGATATGCCAAACAAATACATCTGTTTAAAATAAAATGAGTTCTCTAAAAACCTGACACGTATTTCAAGTGATGCAGAGACATCACTGGGCTGTTTTATTGTGCATAGAACAGTAAAAATAAATGCCACAGTCACATAAAGCTCCATAACATGCAGCCAGATACAGTTTCCACCTTCTTGGAAGAATTTAAGGTATTCTAGCACAAACAATGAAGGCCTCCAATATGAAAATCTTTTCCTCCATAGATGCAAAGTAACTACTTTCTTTTGTTCATGTAACATGTGTATTATGTAGGAAGAAAACAAGCAAATTCAGTTTCATCCGTGGGTGCAGGTTCTATGTAATTTCTTACAGTGAGAACTGCTGTTAAGTGCAGAGTCATTTGAATGTGCACTTACGAGATATACAGTGCAGCTTGCCATTTATGGGTTTGCAAACATTTCTAAAGCTGGTTTATGGGGTGTTTATTACAAGAAAAGATGTAACAATCATGAGGTGAGAGTACTTTCTTGAAAGGGCAGCAAAAGTTAGTGAAAAAGACTAGACGGAGACTAGGGAGCTCAGTGGACATGCTGAATAGGACTGAATCTGTGTCCAGGCTGCTCTCAGCCTTCAAATTCCCCCTGTGGAGCCATAGGGAAGTTGGGTAATCATGTCAAATGCAAGCAGCACACCCAACTCATGTCAGTTAGGACAGAGGGTGCTGGGAGAAGGCAGCTGTGGCAGTGAGAGGAGCACAGGCCTAGAAGTAAAGACAGCTGTTTTCTAGCGCCAACTCTGCTCCAACAAGCTTGTGTAAATGTGGGCAACTCGTGTTACAAGGATTCAGTCTTATCATCTATCAGAAGCGGAAGATGGCTGGAAGATGGAAGAGTTCTTACAACTCTTTAATTTGAAGCTTCTATGCACTTTCAGGGAAAAAAAAATTACATGTAGCTCCCTGAAATTGGTCTCTCCTGAACCTCTTAAGATGGCAAGTCATCATACACATCCCACAAACATTTTCTATTTAGCCATCATCCTCTTCCAAGCATCTTAGACAATACTGCAAAACTGCCGTGGCTGTTTTTGTAGCCTCCTGAAACCTACAGAAGCAGGCAGTACCCTCCAACTCCCCCCCCAACCAATCGTACTATTGAAGAACAGAGATGCTGAGTGTTCTGTCCAAGGTCAGAAGCTAGGACAGAATCAGAATTCCAGCCTCCTTGTTCCTAGGGCTATCCTGTACTTTCCACAAAGAAACCAAGCTGACTTTCTACAAAGAAACCAAGCTGACTTTCTGGGAAGAATGCCAGAGGTTCCATTCTCCCAACTGAGAATTCATTGGAATATTGGAATAACAACTTCGGAGACTGTGGTCTCTCCAATCCATTTCAGGACCTGGCTAGAAACATGAAAACCCAAAGAAAGAAGCAATAGGGAATTATTCCGTTTTTTAACGAAAGAGAAAAAATTAGGGGTGGGAATATGGGATTTCTTAAAAATTACATGATTGCTGGAAGTTAATTTCATATTTCTTCATTGGTTTGTAAGTTCTGTTTCCAATCACAAAAACAGACAGCTGAGGATGCCTAAGTCACATTTCAATGAATTAGCATCTTGTCTCAAAGAATCCTTCCCACTCGGAGTACAACACAGAACCCAGAATGCAATCCTCTGTGGTAGAAAGGAATCTCCTGCAATGCGCTAGTTTGTCATAATCCCAGAAACTGTAATCTAAATCGGAAGTCTTCAAGCCCAGCAGCAACAGAGAATGATAAAGGGGTTGCCACTTAATTTGGGGCACACTGCCTCTTCTAGGAAACTGACTGAGGCCCTGCTCTGCCAGATAGGAGAGATGGCATCCTTGAGCGACCCTTACCATCCACACACTCTTTATTGGGCTGAGGCCAGGGCACCTGGAAAAGAACCCCATCATAGATTTAGAGACACATGTTCAAAAAGGAAAGTTCTGACTTCTTCCAAGAAAGGCCAACCAGAACAGGAAAATACATGTTGAACTAGCATCATGCCTTGAAGATAAAATGAAACCAACATTATGGCAAAGCCCAAGTGATCAGCACTCAGAGTTGAGATTCATAAAGGAAAGAATCCAGAAATAATAATAGTTTTAGTCACTTTTTCCCCCTACCTGTCGATGATGACAGGATCTGAAGGAGTCTCGTTTCGGTTTCCACAACTTTTCTTTTCGCAACACCGACTGTAGGTGGGGAAAGAACCAAAAGAGTAAAAGAAATTTGTTAAAAATCAAGAAAATGCAATGAGCATACATTGTAAGAACGTTCACAAAAATGAATATGTCTTAGGTCACCTCTTCATTATCAGCAGCTCGAGAGCAGAATTTATGGCCACGTTTAAAAACAACTCTAAGATACTCATTCGAAACCCAAAGATACTCATTCAAATTCTCACCCTATGATTTATAAACTGGGTAATCACAAGAGCCATATTTGTAATCTGAAACATAGACAGTTGGATTTTAAGATCTGGAGGTTATTTTTTAGCTCGGTGGTAAATTATTTTATAACTGTGTATTTTAGATCTTTGTGTCTTAATAAATATTTAAAGAAACAGGGCAAAGGAAGATGTATAAAATAGACCCCAACTAGCTGCCTGGATTATTATCAACCTTATTTATATGACATCTTTCTCCAGAGAACTCAGTGGATTTTACAAACATTTATTCATTCAGTTCAGTTTTATCATTTTCTAAAGATGAATGAGGAAAAGTAGAACTATGGTGTACATTTTAAAATAGGAAAAAATAAGGCAAGGAGCTATAAAATTATAGTTCAAATCATTTTCACCCTATCCAGAACAGAAATGGGGCTAGATGTATAGGTCCCATCTTAAAAGCCCTGCCTCCCAAGCCTTGCACCCAGGAAAGTGCTGGGTACATGGTACATGATGGAGAAATACAAGAGAGACAGAAGAAGCCCTAAAACAATTACAGCAGATAAGAAGGACATTCTGAAGGACCTGAGCAGAGAGCAAAACACTCCAATCCAAGGGCACCTGTATAAAAGATGTAGACAAATGTGAAAAGGAAGCCTAGCGGCGGACAAGCACTGGAAAATCACCTCCCTGTGTTGCCCCACTGCTGCTTGTCAGGACAATGGACTTCTGAATACCTCTCAGTTCATTTCAAACACATGGTCCACCACTGACCATGGCTAGTTAAGGACATAGCCTTGACGTGGCTTGTAAGAAAAGCATCACCACATATTAGACATATTAGAATATGTCTAATAAACATTAGCAATAACAAAACTATGTGTTTTGTTATTGCAAAGCACTGCCCTTCGCACAACAGTTTCTCTGGAGCTTAAGAGTGATGTGGCCCCATAGAAAAATGGTTAAAGTGGGAATCAGAACTCTGGCGCCTAATCCAACTCTGTCCCAGACCAGCTGCATGATCTTAGTCTAGTCTCTTTAACCCCTCTGGGCTTTGCCTCCCTGTAAAAAAAATGTTGCACTAGGTTGTCTCGAGTCTCTTCTAAGTTCATGAGGCTGAGATTCCCTGAGCACCCTTCGAAAGTGACAACAGGGTAAGGAAAAGAGAAAAAGCGTGTGGCAAAAAAAAACAAAGGCCGAACACAGCCCAGTCATAGATTTGCTTTCTGGTTCTCTGTCTATATGCCCTCTTTGATCTTCAACAGAATGACAAACAAACAAATATTTTTAAACTTTTACAGCCTATCCCTCTCATCTAGAGACATGTGGATTATTTGGTGAACAAATCTACCGTTCTCGAAAAAGTAACATACACTTGAGAGATGCTAAAAACAACTTTCACCGAATGGGCGAATGAGGTTTTAAGACATGTAATCAAATTAGTAAGAAATAAAAGAAAAAATTAACTCAACTTTCTTAAATATCAGAGTTTGCCCCTAGGACTTTCTGAAATAATATTTTGCCTTTGAAATTATATTAGTTCTTTACTTTAAAATTTTCAATCCATCCCAAGATTAACACCAATAAAAATGCTGGCCAGCTGCTCTCCTACCTCCCAAAGCCCTGACTCTTCCCAGCTCCTACCCCCACCCACGTCTCCTTTTCCTATTGTTTATGTCAATACAATACCTTCACAGCTCAGGCAAACCTTTTTTCCTAGCAACACAATTTCAAAATACATACATGCTAATTACCTAAGCCTTCTACCTAGTCTCCCCCTTTGCTATCACCAGCATGTCGACCTAACCCAAAACGGAGTTTGATGCTGGGTACGATTTAATTCCAAGAGCATAACAGAATATGCCAATCTGTTTAGTTTGAGAAGGAATGATTCAGAGAAGGCCGAGTAAGTTTGCAAAGTTGTTCAGCTGAATTCAGCTGCTTTCCATGGGGATTTTCTCTGGAGGAAAAGAAAAAACAGATAAAAATGTAAGCTTGATGCCAGTATAATACGGTGTGAGAAATGGACTCAGGGAAGGAAATTATATTCAAAGAAAATATGGAGAAACTTCGAGACCTAATCTTCCATTTTCCAACAGTAACATATTTAAGGATGATCTATAATAGCCCAGAAAAGATGTAGAAGACGCTTACTTGGCTGTTGCACTATCATAATAGTAACGCATAACACTAATAGGAGTGGGTTGTATTTGCACCATTGAGCCCTCTTTAAAATTTCTCTGGGTTAGCCGAAGCTAATTTTTTTTTCTTTTTTTAAAAGAAAAAGTCTCATCAAGATGTCCTAGTTATTCTTTATTTGGTTTCTTAAATGGCATTCAGTCCCCATGCCAGCAATATTAATTAACATAAGCAAAGGGAAGTAGGGAGGGAAGACATCTATGATCCCCTATTTCCCAGACAATTGCTCTGTGATCAGGTATGTGGATGGTGGGTGCGAAGGAACTGGGTCCCTGAATTACTCAGATAATAAACCCAATCCTCCCTTCCCTTTGCTGTGTGGACAAAGCCTGAATGACCAACTTCAGGTTCAGCTACTTTATCTGAAAGGCTTTTTAGGGTTATTTCCTAACAAGCACGTCTCTAAGTCTGAAGTTCCTGATAAGTATTTTTAAAAACCGAACAAGACTAAAAAAGGAAAAGAAGAGAAAAAGTTAAACAAAGAGAAGAGGAAACTGAACTTGGCACTGGGTTAAGATTGTGTCCCCAGCTTCCACGGGGAGGCTCGGAAGTGCCCCTTTTTCCTAATGAATGAAAATGAAAGCTCTTCCTCTACTCCTCGGTTTGGCTTGGTTTGGTTTATTTTAATCCAGGGCTTATTTGAAGAACCTTATACCTGAAATATTCTCAGCTTTCATACAGACCTCTTTTATCCTCCCTATCTCTTTATGGAGTCTTAGGAGAAAGAGAAAAAAATCAAGCTGGGGATGAGGGGTGGAGGAATATGAGAAATTTTATCCCAACCCTGAATCTTACCTGCACTTTTCAGAAAGGGAGAAAGAGGGGAAAGGGCTGGAGATGAAAAAAAGCCCCGGCCACGGACATGGGATGTCCAGTCAGCCAAACTGCTCAAGACAAGCGAATGTGCCCCTTCCCCTCCAAAATCGTTTTTAAAATTCAACCCTCAACTTTCAAAAATCTGTCTCTAATTTCAAACTCAAATAAGCGCACAGCATGGCGGCTTTTGTTTTGTTTTCTTCTCCCCAACTCCTCCCTGCGATTGCATAACAAAAGTGTCTAAATTCACACCATCTGGCCGATAAAGACACTGGCCCCACTGCCCGGCTGGCCCATCTGATTAGGGCCCTGTCTAGCCTGCGCCTTGTGGCGAAAAGTCACAGCTGTGGGGTTTGCTCGCGCTCAATACAACTCTGTTATTAGCCAGCTGTAGGCCTTGAGACGACTTCTGTTCAAATTATAATATCTTTTAACCCTCTGAGCATTGAGGGCACAGGGGTAGCTGGCAGCGACATAACAACTAGATTTCTCCTTGCTAATAATTGGCAAAATGAACTAAAGCAGGGAAGGGGGGAGCAGAGACGGTTGGAGAAGTGAGAAAAAGTTATTGGTAAAGAGATTTATTTTGCCCCCACCAAAGCTAAGCACCAATTTATGAGTTTTCTGACTAAAGATTGCAGAACATAAAACCATTCGAGGAAATTCCCAGGTAACGCCGAGCAATGAAACTAAGCGTGTGCCACAACCACTGAGAAACAGGGCATTCGATTCATCCCTCAAGCGTTGACTCTGCCATAACTGGCTCTTAAAATGTGGAAGAAGGAACTTCTCCCTCTTACTGGAAAATCAACCAGCTCAGACTGACACATTGAATGAGAACTTCCTTTTCAGATGCATCCAACATTTACTACTACCCCAGCTCATCTCCTAACACACACACACACACACACACACACACACACACACACACACACACCAGACACTGCACCCATGCAATGGATCATTTATTTACTCATAATTAATATTTGTTTTAAATTCTAGTTTGGGAAGAAAATAGCAGAGATTCTTCTCCCAAGTCTCAAATGCAGAGAAGTTACAGTACATTAAAATTTTATATTGTGTTACTAATGCAGACTAAACTAGATCCTTTAAAAATTGATGCTGCTACTTAAACAGCATAAAATGAGGAGGATTTGATTGGGCTTAAAAATAAAAATGTCAGCTTTAACTACAGCTATGTGGTACGTGCAAGTATTACTTAAAGTGATAAGTATAATACTTCAGTTTGGGTTTTTATTTTCTTTTAAGAAGATAATCTATCCAAACAAAGACTTTCGAAAATATAAAAGAGGAATAAAAAAGAGCCCTTCAATTAGCCAACCAAATTAAAGTGTTCTGACGATTTAATCTAGATATCACATATACATTCATCTTGGGTTTGTATTTTCTTTCTGAACAAATCTAACAAGGAGCCTTGGGATAATGAAGTAGCTATCTGCTTACTCCATCGCCCAACACCTCGCGCATCTACTTAGGCAAGGAAGCCCCAACCTGCTCAGCTGAGGCCACTGGCAGAACTTTGCATTTGGCAAAGTTTGTTTTTCTAATACTTGGTCAAAACCAAAACAAACATGTCCGATTGGTATGTTTCTTCCTGAGTGGGTTGGGAGGGCGATGGGGCTGCCAGAAGCTGACCATAAAACGGTCTGAACTACATCAGCCTGCCTGCAATTACCCAAAGCTAGCAAGTCTGCAGTGGGAAGGCATCCTCTGAAGCAACAGCGGAGTGAGGAGGAATTGAGGCTTTCTCCCCAACGGGAGATTTTGAAGGGAAAAACATGTGTATGAATAAACATCTACATTTTTATAATTTTGAAAGCACCACTTTTTCCCAGTTTCCTTTTTATATCTTTTCTCGTTTGCTGTGGAATCCCCAGTACCTGGCACATATCAGACACTGAGTAAATGTTTGTTGAAAGAATAAACGTGTGGATAAATTTCTTCTAATTTTTTATTTTCTTCTAGTCAAGCAGAAGAAAGAACTCAAAATAGAATGGATTGATCTCTGAAAAGAAGATGAGAAAAGGGGCAAGAATTCGAGAAGACTGTACTTCTCACGACTTGGCCACCAGAATACAGCTGTTGCTCCAGACCCCAGATCGCCTGGATTGGGTCCTCTCCCCCACCCCCACCCACTGGCTGATCCTCCTAACCTAAGCAACTCCCCTGACAGGAGAAATCACCAGAAATCGCTGGAGAAGCAACGCCCTTGGAGGAAGGAAATGCCCCCTCATCACAGACAGGTGCCTCCGCTGGGGACAGCAGGCCACCCCTGAAACGAGCCACTGGACCCGCTGGTGGTCCCTCCCCAGACTTTAGGGTCCTTCCAGTGCTTTGACTGGTAACGTCGCAAGTGTTCCCTCCTGGAAATCCACCCCGAGCAGAGCGAACTGGACAGGCGGGAAATGAGCCTCAAGTTCTGAGTTCCAGCTGAGGCTGGAGACCCGTTCAGGGAAAGTCCCAGATCCCAAACTTGTCTGGGGGCTGCCCCGCGCCTCCCTGGGCTACCACCGTAGAGAGGAGACTCCTGGAGGTGGAATCCTGCGTGGTTCTGGGTTTCCCTTTCGAGATGCTCGAAAAGTTCTAGTGAATCAGCCCCGCTCCCCGCGCGCCCTCTGTTCTGAAAGTCGGTGCCCCGACGCCCACGATCGCGCTGGCCCCTTCCCCCTGCCCCGCTTGTCTGCGCAGCCTGCAGAACAAAGCGGCTCTTACCTGCACATGACTTCGTGGGTCAGGAGAACTCGGCACATTTCCGGATTCTTATTTTGTCCCTCGTAAGCTATGGGCTGCGAAGGATTGCGGGGAGGAGGGGAGAGGGGGGGACAGGAAGGGAAAATGTGGGGGGAGTGGGAGGGGGACAGAGAATAGGGACTTAAAAGCAAGCACCAAATTGGTTTTCCTCTCACTGCCCACTACTTCATTAGGAGTGCCCTCTGGCACAGCAGAACCCGAACTAAGGCCTGGCTTGAAACTCAAGCGAAATAATAATACACAAGTTTGCCCTGTGAGGACAGAGTCCTTGCAAGAGACAATATTTGGGAAAATTGAATCTCCCAATAATTGCTTCCTCCTTTCACCTCTTTGCTTGCCCTCCCTCACCTCCAGCATCTCCCCCAGCCAGAAAGAAACAGGACAAGTGGGGAGAAAAAGGGAAAAAATTTTTCTAGAGTAGATAAGGTGTGAGTTGATGTGGAGGGGCATGTAAAGTCTGACACAGGATTTCATGGAGGGTCGGGGAAGGTCACGGACAGGTGGGGAAGCCCTCCACCCCCAGAGGAAGAAAGGAGTGGACCGCAGGGCTCACCTGCTTGGTGACTGAGTCGATGAGCCTGACGTACAAGTCCTGCTCGGTGCGGACACCTGTGGGGGGGGAGGGGCGGGCACGGGGTCAGGGCCGAGGAGCCCCTCCCAGGCACCCCCAACATATCGCGCGTGGAGTCAGGCCCAGGCAGCCGCTGGGGGCTGCGGGGGCGGGCCTGCAGCTGAGCTGTCCCGGGGGCAAAGACCACCTTCCCATGCTCCTTTCCTGACCGAGCCTCCCAAAGCCCTGCTCTCCCCAGGCCTGATGCTGCCTGCAAGCGACCTCGACAAGGTCAACTGCTTTCCTTGAAAGGGACACGTGTGGGTGCCTGGTTACAGAGGGCGCGAGTGCTCACCGTTGCTGTAGAGGAGCTGTAACTTGTAGTGGGTGCCGTTGTTGGTCTTCTCGTTGCCTTGTTCCTGAAAATACAGGTGATATTTGAATCTCCTGCTTTCCGGCCCCTCAAATGAGGGATAGAGGAGAGAGCGAGTCCCTACACCGCCTCCGGCTGCCTTTCTCCCCCTTGAGCCGGCAGCTTTGAACAACCCACTGCCCAGCCCAGGTCAAGGGACAGGAGCTTCTACCGCAGGGCCACGTCCCAAACTTGCCGAGGCTCGCTGCCACTTGACCCTCTCCAATCTTCTGTTCCTCCCCTTTAAAAATGTCCTCAGAAGTATGATCGACTCTCCCTCCCTCTCCCCTGCAGTCAAGACAACTGGACACCTCCGCTTTTAAACAGTCCCCACCAAATCCAACCTGGCTCTGTCTGTCCTAGCGAAGCCGCAAGGCTTCTCTCAGCAGAAAGGTGAAGGGACCTGTCATATAGAAGGGAAGCATTCGGCCCTATCGCGCTGGGACCGGCGCCTCCCGGGTCACAAGCTGCGGGCCTAGGTTAGGTTCAAAAGGGCCCCCTGGAGCGCCTGCTCTAAAGCTCACAGTGTACAGCTGAGGAGACTTGAGGCCCAGAGAGGTCAAGAGACTTTCTCTTCGTCACACTGGCTTCCGTTGAGATCAAATGCAGCCCCAAACCCAGGCCTGGGTTGGGACCCCAAGCAGCCTCGGGGAGCGAGAGTGGGAGACAAGGCTGGGCAGGGAAGGCGAGCCAAGGCTGGACTCTGGGTTTCCACCTGGGGAACTACCCTTTCTGCGGGCGCCAGCAGGTGCAAAATAACGACAACAAAAATAACACGAAGAACGGCCCGGCGGCCTTCGGTATACTTTTAAACTATACTCTAGTCAGAAGGGCGTTTGCCGCGTGGCCAGTCCATGGCCAGGTTCTGCTAATGACCCAGAGGCTGGGTGCGCAGAGCCATCAGCGCCCCCGCAGAGCGCTAGAGGAGGTGCGGGGAAATGGACCGGTTTAGTGGCTGGGAGTGAGAAGCCTCGATTTATCATCTCTGATGATGTGAGCGGAAAAGTGTCGCTAGTGACAGATGGAATCTTTAGTGCTTTGCACGGAGGTAGTTAGTAGGCCGCGAGGGGAAGAGGGGGACCTCCGCTTACTTTGTCGTTCTCCACAAAGTCTACAAAGGCGGTGCGCTCAATCTCCACCGGCTGCCCCTGCCTGTCGTAGAGCGCCAGGACGAAGTGAAAGAAGTTGGATTTCCTCAAGTTGGAGGGAGGCTGCTTCTCAAAGTGGGCCCGGGACAGGGCGACTCCGCTGCGCAGGAAGAGACACGGGGGATACCGGACACGGGGAAGGAGAGAAAGACAGGACGTTACTAACGCGCCCACGCAACACCGCAGAGGGTTGAGTCCGTGTCCCGGGTCAAGAGCTCTGTACCTCTCAGATCTTTTTTCAATTGGGATTAAGAAGAGGGGACTCCTTAAAGGAGTCACAGTGGCCACGGGGGTCCAACCTCCAGGCATCTCAGCCCTGGGCAAAGCTCACTGTCTGGTCTTTAGTGGTGACCACAGGATCCCAGCTGCGAACTGGGGCCTGGAGCAGTCCCCTGAGGCGGCTGCCCTTATCTGTCCTATCAGAAGGCTGGCGACTTGGTCAAGAATCGAAGCTGGGCCCCGGGGTTTGGGGAATAAGCAACTCCGTTACTTTTAAAGACGTGACCGTTTTCCTTCACCTTTACTGGAGTTACCTGTCCCGGAGCTACTGCCCACAAAACCCCCATGTTATTACGGAAAGGCGGTGGGCGAGAACCCCCTGGGGGCGGGCGGAAAGCCCTGAGCCCAAGCCTAGGTCCTACTGGAAAAGAGGCCTCACCTCCTGTTTCCC